TCCGCCATTTTGGAGAGTATCACAACGCATACGCATGCTTTACCCTAAGTGTAAACAACGCTGATTATGCCGATTACATTCATGCACGCGCTTTCCTCCCTAACGTAAACAATGACGATTACGTTCTTTGGTACTCTCCAAAATGGCGGAAGACGTAACTCGGGGGAGAACAATTGTTAAATAAATAAGTTTATTTTTGTTTTCTTTGCGCACAAAAAGTATTCTCGCAGCAGATTCCATCAAAAATATCTTAATTTGTGTTCTGAAGATGAACGGAGGTCTTACGGGTTTTGAACGACATGAGGGTGAGTAATTAATGACAGAATTTGCATTTTGGGGTGAACTAACCCTTTAATATTAAATTATTAATCTAAAATAACTGAGAACTGAAGACATTTGTGGTTGATTCAACCAAAACATGGTGTAAACGGGCTAAAAACTGTCAATTTTGATGTAATGGCATCTTTGTTTTGGTTATACTTTTGAAACAGTGTGACAGTTACCTTTTCTGCATAGATTTCCACTATAGCATATGTTTTTATAAACTAACGGATGCGATGAAATTATTTTGCATGGTAATGGACTGCTCTGATGTCTGTAAACTTTCTGTGTCATATGACACACACACACACATATATATATATATATACACACATACATACCACACACACTTTGTTTTTGTTGGCATCACTTTTTTATTCAGTCAGTGTTTTAAAAGAAGGCAGTAAGCAATTATTTTTTACTGTGTATTATATTGATTTAATGATATTTTATTTTTAAAAAACACTTATGAAGGACAGAACCATGTAAATTTAGGAGATTGGCCATCATAGCAGTAGTGAACAAATATGGATTTTTCATTATTTTTTCTTTTTTATTACTATTTATTTGTATTTGATGACTTATTGACTTATTCTTTTTTTATCATAATAGTTCATTTTTATGTATGTTTCTTTTATTGCTATCAGGTTTTGGCTTCTAAACAGGGCTTATTTTTTCCTATTCATTTTTTTTCTGATTGTTTTAAATTATTATCTGTCTTTTTTTACTGTGCTTTATATTGTTTGAATACTATTGTAATAAAAAAAACACACACACACAAAAAACAACAGAACCATTTAAATGTGTAAGATTGTCCATCATATCATTATTAGTTTTAGTCATTACAAAAAAAAAATATTTGTTAAAATTGTAGAAGTATCAAGTATATCAGATTTCTATATTGGTGTGTTCCATATTGCTTAGCAAGGCAAACCTCACTATGACTGTTGCACATATTTCTGTTCATGTCTGTATTTATATTGCATTTTCCACTGTTTTTCTTCCTTTGCAGCATTTGCGTCTATCTTTAACTGAATGGGGTCAGTGCCGTGTGCAGCACCTGCGTTTCCCATCAGTCATGGACATGCTGAGTCACTTCCGCAACTGTCCCATCCCGCTGGAGTGCGGCGCCGCGTTTGAAGTTATGTTGGCCAATTATGTGCGGCTAAACCCCACTCACGCAGGTAAGACTGTATTTTGCATTGTTTTTATTAAGAATGCATTTTGACTCTATTATATTAAAATTTTTGCATATTTGTGACAACAGCACATACATAATTTGTAGCAATAGCACACAAGATGAACAAGTCATTTGCTTGAAACTTCAAAAACATTAGGGCTCATCGTGATTTTGCTCTTTCTGCTTTCGTTCTGATGGCTTAATGTGAGCAATATAACCCATAAATGCCACAATGTGACATTTTGGAGGTCTTTTAAACAATATCACTTATGTCACAACAGATGTTTTCTTAGTAGACGACTTGATTTGAATCACTTCTGAGTCATTTTCACAGTCTGATGTAAACCATGTGATTTTGCAGGTCGTAATAATTATTAATAGTTATTGGTTTGATTTAGTCACCAAAGCCAATTTTTTCACACATTTGGCGCTTGGCAAGAATTAATTTTGGATTTTGTTTGTAAGCCACATTAAAAAGCATAATAAAAATGTAATAAATCTAGTTTATGTGATTATACACTGTTTAGCACTGCACTGTTAAACTTATATAATGTAGGATAGTATATAATAAAAAAATATATTACATAGCAGCTATTTATCTATAAATGCTCAAGCAGCTAACATGCATACAATTTCTTTCTTGTCTCTCTGTCACACACAAACACACACACACACACACAGCTCGACAGGATCCTTTTCCTCTTATGCTGTGTGGTTTAGATTGGTTTTAATAGTTCAGAGAGACCTGACACAAGGAAATATGCACTCTCTCAAATACACACACACACACACATAATCGTCCATACACTCATACCTATATCATCAGAACTGCAGACTCTGTGACTTCAGACTAATCTGCCATCAAGCTTCTGTTTCCTGCAGTCCCTCCTTCACAAACTGTAAAATACACACATATACACATAGCCTGTTTTATCACATACGTACATATACACATTTTAATAACATGCCCTATTTTGTACTCGTACTTCTATATACTTCAAAGCTCAAACACACTCTGTGATACTTGTAGAGGATGCAAAGCTTGAGAAGTGTGAAGACGATGCCCTCTATGGGATACAGGGAGTATAAAACAGTTATTTAGGTTTATTGTCAGATTTAAAATAGTTGATTTCCATCCATAATAATTTCTATTGATGGGCATCATTGTAAGTATACAGTACACTTACCTTTCAAAAGTTTGGGGTCATTGTTTTTAAAAGATGTCTCTTATGCTCACCAAGGCTGGAATTATTTGATTAAAAATTCCGTAAAAACTGTAATATTGTGAAATAGTTTTACAATTTCAAACAACTGTTTTCTATGTAAATATATTGTCAAATGTAATTTATTCCTGTGATGCAAAGCTGAATTTCCAGCATCATTACTCCAGTCTTCCTTCAGAAATCATTCTAATATCCTGACTTTCTGCTCAGGAAACATTTCTTATTATTATCAATGTTGAAAACAGTTTGCTGCGTCACCTTTTTGTGGAAACGTGATACATTTTTTTAAATGACACTCTGATGAATAGAAATTTCAAAAGAACAACATCAGCATTATAAATGTCTTTACCGTAACTTGATCAGTTTAATGCATCCTTGTTGAATAAGAGTATTAGTTTTTATCTTACTGACCCCAAACTTTTTAGCAATATTGTACTTGGTAATAAACAGTAATATTAATCAGAGTATTTAAGTAATATAAAAATGCATTATTTAGTAATAATTACATCAACTGAAATTACTCTTTTTGAATGTTATTTTTTTAAGATTTAAAAGATATATTTATGTGTATGTGTGTGTGTGTGTATGTGTGTGTGTGTGTACTGTATATGTGTGTGTGTATGTGAAAGTTTACTGAAATCTGCAAAATTGTTAATTATTTGACCAAAATAAGAGGGATCATACAAAATGCATGCTTATTTGTATTTAGTAGTGACCCGAAAATACACAGCGTCTCCCTGACATGGCTGCATCAACACTACTGCGTTCCTGAAACCAGCGGGGCCTCCCCCACCCGGTCCGTTCTCGATCGCGTTGGGGGGGGTACGTTCGCCGCAGGGCCCCCTCAAGCTGTTCACAAGAGAAAATAATAGTTGAATTTATAAAAATGACCCCATTCAAAAGTTTACATACACATGATTCTTAATACTGTTTTGTTAACAGCTGATACACAGATACACAGCTGTTCTTCAGAAAAATCCTTCAGGTCCCACAGATTCTTTGGTTTTCCAGCATCTTTTGTGTATTTGAACCCTTTACAACAATGACTGTATGATTTTGAGATCCATCTTTTCACACTGAGGACAACTGAGGGACTGAAGGCTTTTTCAGGAAAAGTAATAAAAAATGGAAAGTAATTGGTCAAAAGTTCTGGTAACTTTTGTAAATTTTACGAATCAAAACGGTGAACTTCAAATTTGATAGTATTATTTTAAGTGTATTATTTTTATTATGTAAGTGTATTATTTTAAGAGTGAGTTTCTGATCATGTATAGTGTTGGATGGGACAATTTGTGATTCTACATTTATAAGGGAAGAAACTAAAATGACATTGAACCTAAATCAAAACTTTATGTACCTTTAATACTAACTACAACTAAAAACCAAAATGCAAAACGAAAACTTTAAAGGGATCATATGATGCTATTTTAAAGATCATTATTTTGTGTATTTGGTGTAACAGAATATGTTGACATGCTTTAATG